ACTTTTTCCCTGAGTACAATCTAGTTACCGCCGCATGATCAGAATACACTGTTATTGGCGCCTTTCCAAAATAGACTCGGAACTTTTGCACTGCTAACAGAACTGCAAGTGTCTCTCTCTCGGTCGCGGAATAGTTTCTTTGTGTTTTATTTAAAGTTCGGCTAAAAAATGCCACGGGCTGCTGATTTTGCGAAAGTACCGCTCCTACCGCATAATCCGAAGCATCCGCTGAAATTTCTAAATTCTCATCCTTTTCAGGAAATTTCAACACAGGGGCTTGCGTTAATGCTTGTTTTAATTTTTCGAAAGCACTATTGGCTTCGGCCGTCCACGAGAATCTTGCCTTTTTCCTTTTTAATTTTAACAATGGTTCAGCAATAGCTGCAAAATTTTTATAAAGGACCTATAATATGAAACAAAGTCCTAGAAAAGAAGAGAGCTTCTTCGCCGTGTTTGGAGTCGGATACTTTTGTACAGCAATTATTTTTGATTCCTCTGTCTCTATTCCTTTCTGAGATATTTTGTAACCTAAATATTTTAATTCAGGGGCTGGAAATTTGCACTTTTCGACATTAACTTTTAGACCGGCCTCATTTAATAAAAAAACACCTGTCTTAAATCCTGTACATGTTGGTCGAGATTATCACTAGTAATAATGATATCGTCTAAATAGATAAATGTGGACTTTCCAAGAACAGGTCTTAACACAATGTCCATACATCGCTGAAATGTTGCCGGCGCCCCTGAAAGGCCAAACGGCATACGCAAAAATGCATAAGTGCCAGACTTGGTTATAAAAGCAGTTTTAGGCACGTCCTCAGGCCTAATCCCTATTTGAAAATAACCAGTCGTTAAGTCTAAAGTCGTCATATATTTGGTGGATGTTATGTTCCTTAGAATTTCTTCAATAATAGGTAACGGATATACCGGATATTTAGTTATGGAGTTTAATTTACGGTAGTCAATTGCGAATCTCCACCTTTTTGGATGTGTCAAAGGATAGTCATTATTTTTCTTACATAAAACCACCGGGCTAGCATAACTACTTGAGATGGGCGTTATGATCTTTTTACGTAGCATATCGGTGATATGCCATTCTATAATTTTTTCCTTATTCTTATCATACCGGTATGCTTTGTGGCGAACTGGCATTGAATCTCCGGTGTCAATACTATGGTTAGTAACCTGAGTAAATCCTGGAATATCACTAAATAACGAAGCAAATTCACTTACCACTTGTCGGATCCTTCCTTGATCGTCATTAGGCAGGTGGTCAAGATTTAACATCGGCGGTTCAGCCTTTTCTGCACGAACTGGTTTCATCGTCAGCTTAAGGGACGCTTCATTAAAATCCAGCGTTTGCTTGTGGCTCTGAAAGAAAAATCTATTCCTAAGATTATATGTGCTTGCAGATTCTTTACTATAAAAAACATCACCTTTACTTGTTCGTCCTTGATACGGACATACAGCGGTACTTTACCTATACACTTACATTTTTCTCCTTGCGCCGCTAACACTGTCGTATTATCCGAATTATATATACGGTATTTCCGAAAATACTTCCTAAAAAAATCTTCTGCCACACAGGAACACAGCGCGCCTGTATCCAGGAGTGCGGTGGCTGGGATATTATTCACCAACACTTCAATCTTCGGAAGAGACAAATTTTTCACCATTACTGTATTTAACTTGAAGGAAGACGGGTTTTTGTGGCCTTCGGATTTCCGCACCCTCCCGTCAGCAGAAATCCGTTTTAGTTTAACTTATTTTTCATTTCCCTGCTTTCCTTCTTTTTCCACTGGCATTGAGACTTTTTTCCTGGATTGCTATTGAACTGTCGACGTTCGCCGGCTGTTTTTGAATGCTCGGGTTTCCTTGCCCACTGATTCGCTTTGCTTCCGTAGCCGTGTGCTTGAGTTTGCTGTAGTCTTGGCGCACCAAATTGGTTTCGCTGTTGATATTTGCGTCTTCTTTCAATGTCCGCCGTTCTTCTACTTTCAAACTGGATTGCTAGCTCAAATAACTTTTCCAGTGTAGTCGGATTTCTTAATTCAATAAAGTCTTGCACTTGGGGCAGTAACCTCGGCAAAATCACTTGAATTATCTCAGGATCCGGACGGTTTCCATACAAGAGTTTGAAGACGTGAATGTTTCTTAAAATAAAGCTTGAGATATTTTCGATTCTTTGCTGATATATACTAAAAAGTTCCGTTTCTAATTTCGCACGATCCTTACAACACAGGAAGGCTTTTAGTAGGGCAGTCTTGAAATTCTCGTAAGTATAGGTGGGACTTCCTGCTTGACCCAAGAGACTTCTGCCTATACATTTGAACCAGTTAAGCGCTTGGCCCCTCAAAGCGCTGGTAGCTAAGGTAACTTTTTGAAATTCGTGCACGGGGTAAGAGCATGAAGTGGTCATCCAATTTTTCCAAAAAACTGGTTACCGGTGAGTTTCCATTAAATGCTTGCTTCTGGTTTCATCGAAGCGCGCATGGTCTGGACGATGTAACCAAATCCTTCCAGGGCGGCAGCTGGCATTTCTGGATTCTGAGCCGCTTCTGCAGGCAGCACAGGTTCTTCTTGAAACTCGGCCATGGTTATTCTTCTTCGTTGGGCGCCACTATCAGGTTCAATGTTCCGTCTTACTTTCTTCGGGAACATGCAAGGACCTGACTCGGAACAGAGAGCTTACTAAAGCTATGTTCAATCACTTTGGGAAGTAGACAGGATTCACAAGAAGGGTATACAAAACCCTTTATTTTTCTCTATTTACAATAACTTCCGTACTTCGGAATACACAGACCCGCTACTTGTGGTCTAACGTAAAAAATAAAAAAATAAAATTAAACTCTAATTTAACTTTAAAATAATAAACGTGGAAGATTGGCCTTATATTAAGAGGAAGCCGTATATAGTACAGAGAACTGTGAACACTACAATACGTTTAAAAATTATCAAGAGGATTAAAACCTCTGGCCTGGAAGGCAACCAGCAACTGAGTAAAACGTCTAAGGTAAGCGGCCTGCTTCGACTCACTGCTTCCTCTCTCTTGCTTGGCAAAAAGCCACAACTTAAATACTTGGCGTTCGCCAGACAAACTTTGCATAAATACATTAACGCTTATAATTCTGGCCGGAAGTAGAAAATAAGAAATGATAGTAAAGATTTAAAATAAAATAAACGTTAGTAAAACTTAAGATCCTTACAGTCTAAGGTTCTTGTTCCTTCCTTAAAATGTTTATTCGTAATTGCTCGTAAGCAGTCAGAAATTTTCCATGAGCTAATCACCAATTTTATTGCTTTTATTTATTAAATGCTATTTTATAAGGAGAAGCATTTATAGTATAATGTGAAATAGTTTTAAATGCTTAATATTATAATAGTAATTCGTAATACTGAAATAATTTTTCAGTTATTCCTGAATTAACTTTTTAATAGGTTCATTAAAGTCTTTCGATATGAAGTGATGATAAGCATTGTTTATTAATCTTTGAACAAATGCAGGTTCAAAATATTAGTCTTTATTTTATTTTCTAACATCTCATAGTTAGATTGTTCTTTTATAATTCTGAACTTGGTTATCTTTTCTCAAATAAAATTCGTAAACTGGGAATGATCAGAATGGCTGTTGTTGTTCTACATCGATTTCAAAAGCTTTTGTAATACAAAACAGTTATAATAGTAAATTTTTAATAATTTTACTTTATCTTAATTTAATTTGAATTCTGTTTTTATATTGTAACAGGTATTCAGCAGCAAAATATCGTTGATTTATCGAACTTTCGTTGTGATATATAAATTATATTTTATGAATTATATTCATATTTTATGAATTATATTCATATTTTATGAATGGGATTTGCATCAAATTTTTATGCACCTGTTACGATTAGTTAATGATAAGTTTTATGGCTTTAGAGTAGAATAGTAGGCGCTTAATCCCGGAACGAATGCTATTGTTTGCTGGAAGAGTCCAAGATTTGTAGGTGTGGTACGTGAAAGTAGGGATGAGCTAAGAGGAGAAAGGAAAAGGGATTTTGAGTATAGGGAATTTCAGTCGTTCCGGAATTGAGCGCCTACTATGAACCGGCTACTGCTTTGTGAGTAAGTGTAGTATTTATTATTCTTATTGATTGTCTGCCCCCTTTTTTTTTTTAATTATGATTACCCAATTTTGAAAATTCTGTGTTAAATTTAAATAAAATCTAAAAAGAAATAACACTTGTTATTTTCTATAAAAATATGGAAATAATATATAAAATATATAAATATACTTCTCTATAAAAAATGGAATTAAAAGTTTCATGTGCTTCTACATCTTCTCAGATATCTTGCCCTCATTGTGAAGTAACATTCAGTATTAAATGTAATATGTACCAACATATCAGAAAGTATCATCCAGAAAAAGAAGTTCACAAAGTTTGTAATAAAATTTGTGGTCTCTGCAGTCTTAAATTCCGAACAATGAAGGAATTATTACATCATATAGAAACAGATCATACTGATATAAATTTGGAGTATAAAAAAAATCAAGTATTTACTTCTAAAACTGAATTTGAACACTGGAAGGAAATGATGGAACGAAATACACAATCTTCTTTCATTATTTCATCCAGTAAAAAGGCAGTAAAAGAAGGAACTGCATCGTATTATCAGTGCCATAGAAGTGGGCAAAGTAAAATTAAAGAGTCAAGAAAACGTAATATTAAAGTAGCTGGCTCTATTAAATGTGGTATTACGTGTCCAGCATACATAAAAGTTTTAGAAAAAGAAAATGAAATAAAAGTGGAATGTCAGTCTGTTCATGTCGGTCACAAAACAGAAGTGGGAAAATTGCCTCTCTCGAAGACAGAAAAAACTAATCTAGCTAATTTAATGAAACATGGAGTTCCACCAGCAAAAGTATTGTCAAAAATTCAAAAGTGCTACACACCTTCAAAACGGTTGTGTATAACAAATTCACAAGATTTACGAAATATTCGTAGAGACTTTGGGGATTGACAAAGACATTATGCTGGATAAAAATGATTTCGTGTCTGTAGATATAACAGTTAGAAAACTGCAGGCAGAACCTGGCAATCCAGTTTTAATATATAAACAAACTAATGAAGAACTGCCTCAGTACCCAGGTCTATGCAAATCGGACTTTTTATTAGGTATTATGAATAGTGCACAATTAAAAATGCTTGAACGACATAGTAATTGTATCATGATAGATTCTACCCATGGCACAAATCAGTATGGTTTAAATTTGACATCTGTTTTAATTAATGATAACAATTTTGAAGGATTCCCAGTGGCAATCTTGTATTCTTCAAAATTAACCACTGAAACGTTTGCTGCATTTTTCAGTTCCATTAAAGAAAGACTTCCAAATTTGAAGACAACAGTTTTCATGTCTGATGATGCTCCGGCATATTACAACGCATGGTGCTCTGTGTTTGGAGAGGCAGATCATCATTTACTTTGCAGCTGGCATGTGCAACGTGCATGGTTCAAAAATTTGAATTCTAAAGTCCGAGATCCAGAAATAAAGAGTAAAGATTAAGTCAGAGTTACTGAAAATTCTAAAAGAAATCGATATTGTAACTTTTGAAAGACTTTCCGATGCTTGTATCAGTGATTATGTGTTGCATGATGAAACTCGAGCTTTTGGAGAGTATTTAACCACATACATGCAACGTAAGAAACAGTGGGCATATTGTTACCGAACTTATTTGGGTGTTAATACAAACATGAAAGTAGAGCGGTGGCATCGGCAACTTAAATACGAAGAAGCTGGTGGAACAGTTATTAAAAGATTAGATAAGTCATTGCATTTTGTTTTAACTGCAATAGCCAAGAAATTAATGGGTCAAATCATTTCTGTGGAACGGCCAAAATTAACTTCTAGAATGAAGGAAATTAGAAACAAACATGAAAGGAGCAAATTCATGGCTGATTATGAATTATACGAAATAAAGCCAAAACAGGCATGGATTGTATCTAGAAGTCAAGAAGGACTGATTCATACAAATAATGTGTATTTTGAAAAAGTGTGTAATTGTAACATTCGATGTCATGAGTGCGACATCTGCATTCATCAGTTTGTTTGTTCATGCATTGATTATAGTGTGAGATTTCAGATATGTAAGCACATTCATTATGTATGCTCAGTTTGTGATATAGATTGTGGTACAAATGTTTGCTCAGAGAAAGATGATTTGATAATTGACGTATCTGAAAATGATGAGCAAATTGAAGAACATTATGCCATCACACAAGAAATCAGAAGAAAGGAACATTCAGATTTTGAAAAAGAAAAGGAAGAGTGGCATGCAGAGTTTCAGTTTTTAACATCACAGGCTGACACAGAGGATAAAAAACAAAAGGTGAGAGAATTCCTAAAAACTTTAAGAGCATCTTTTGCTACTTGTGAAAAACTGCCAACTATACCTTCAAGTTCAGAATGTGTTAATGAGCCAGTGAATAAATTTATAAAGCATCAAAGGAGGTAATATGATGATTTTAAAAAATTCTGTGTGCATTTAATTTAAAAAGAAATTCATAATTTTTGTTAAAGTTATTTATAAAGGATGTTGTTAGCAGAATTTGCTTTTTGCTTAATGAAACTTCATGTAGTAATTGCCAGTCTCAATTTAACTTAATGCCTTTCAAATGAACAGAAATGCAAAAGTTTTGCTTCAGTATTTCCAATTGTTAAATATGGTAACAATTAACATTTATTTCATAAGTACATAAATTTAACAAACTGATACTTCTTAGGAAACTGAATCAGATGTCATGCAAGTTTTTATAAAGCCAGCAATAGAATTAACCTGGTTTAAGTAGAAATATCAAATTAAGTAATTTGATAGCAATTTTGTTATATTTTTTACTAACTACTATTCTTAAAATACATTGATTAATCCGACTGAGTGTAAATTGGATATTGAATTGTTATTACAATATGTTAAAAAGCAAAATAATAGATGAATACCTAATAAAGTACCTTATGTTTTTATTTTAACAGGAACTAACTCCTAGCCCGGGTCTACGGACTGAAAATAGGGCATGGGCAGGGCCGTAGGAGGCAGTTCCCTACGTGTGGTCAACCATGAAATTGTAATGTATTTCTTCGGTAGAATTACAGTGTCCGCAAAAGAAATTTAAGAAACAGCTCAATGATTATAAATAGTACCATTAACTGCTATTATTAAAACCAAAAGCAATATTAATGTATCTTTAATTAATCTTTTGAAATTATATCTCTGTATATTAAATAAATGATCTGATTTTTGGGGATGGTCTGCCCTCCTAGAAAGTTTATGGTTGAAATAAATATTTTTTTACAAAAGACGTTACCCATTAATTCTTGATGTATATAATTATTTACTTACTCAATGTTGCCAACAAAAGGGATGTTTCATCCTGCTGATATTAACTTTGTTTTTTAGCAGTAAAAGTGATTACACCTTCAATAAATGCAGCCTAACAAAAAAAAAAAAAAAAAAAACTTTGGTAAAAGTTTACAATTGGGTGCCCCTTGTTTATTGGAGATTTTTTTTTTGATGCCAAGGAAGCACAATTTCAAGATGGATGCTACACAAAACCAAAATAAGAAGTCAAAGAATTGCACAAACTCTGTGTCCATGTACACATCGATCTGTTTTCACTTAAAAAACATCCCAGAATTGCACAAACTAGGCATTGCACACACTGCCTTAAATTTGTCCATCTACACATCCATCTATTTTCATTTTAAAAAAGTCAGGAAGCTAAAACAAAGTTAAAACTATCATGGTAACCAGAAATGAGGTTTCATTGCCAAAATTTAAAAAAAAAAAATTGTCAATAATCGAATGGGCACCCAGTTCTACACTAGAGCCAAAACTGTTCCTGCAGTACATACACACATAAGGTGTAACTGGACACAAAACTGATAGTTACAAATTAAAAAGGTTCTAGAACATAGCAGCAGTTTTCATATTGCTATATTGTAGAAGATGAACTCAAAAACATGATAAAACAAATGTCGTTGTGATCGCAGACACTTAAAGGAAACAATGTTTGATATTTGGAAGAACCGTTTAAATTAACAGTCAGCAAATGCATTGTATTAATTCTCATGAAAACCATTTAATGCTACAGAAGTATGTGATAAAAGTAACAAGTATGCTTATCATTTTATTGTCATTTTGATGCATTAAATATATGAAATATATAGTTGCTGATTAACATTAAATATTATGTATATGCATAAAAAAAGTTACAGCTCTTTGCAAAAGTATAGCATTTACAGGAAACATTCTCTAAGCTTAAATAACTACAATGAAAAGCAATTACAGTAGTGCCCGTGTATTTGTGGGTAATTAATTCCAGAACATACGAATAAACACTATGTACAACAGAATATCCATGTAATATATATATAAGGTGATTAAGGCTGATCTTTGGAATATGGTAACAGGTAGTTTGGTGACATTTTGGTAAGGCGATAAAAGTTACTAGCTAGGACTTTAGCAGTGTACAGGGATAAAGTCACGAGTGTATGCAATGCCATTTTTGTGCAATTCTGGGATTTTTTTTAAGTGAAAATAGGTCGACGTGTACATGGATACCGTGTCTGTGCAATTCTTAAAAACGCAGCAAGCAGTTTGCGATTCTGCACTTTCTCCCAATTTCGCACCTAATCTACGTCATGATTAAGAATTTTTGTTCCATAAAAGTTCTAGTATAAGCGTAATTCGGCTAGCAGATTGTTGGAAAAAATGTTGAGTAAAAAAAAAAAAAAAAAAACATGGCTTTACTTCGTGAAAACAAAATGGTGTCCAAAACAAAACTAGCATGGTTGCTGTAGCAGGGTTGGTCGCCAAATTTTCGCCAAAAAATTGCCAAGTTACCATAATTCGAAGATTTACTGGTGATTAAATAAGATATCAATATTAATACTGAATGATAAAATACATCGTATACTATATCACTTTATAGACTTCATTTTTAATACAATAATGAAAAATTTACTCTCCTCAAGTTTTTTCCTCGATAATGGATAAAACATCACAGCTACTCTCAAGTTGAGAAGCTTTGGTAGCTTCAACACTCCAACAATTAGAAAGCACTAAAACATTAAAAAAAAAAAAAAGTTTCTGAGTGCAAGAGATGCAATTGAATGTAACTAAAGAAAAGCAAATAGTTGAAAGTGGAGCTGAGACAATTTTAATGGAAAAAATCTGTGTATGCAAGAAAGTTTGATGCTTGACCATTGATAGCATCATCCTCTGCTGACACTTACAAGCATCATGAGGAAGAGATCGATTAAGAAGTGTTCAATTCTGAGCAGCAATATGTAACCTGAAAATACATACATTCCAATGTAACATTTCCGTCCCTTACCCATTTAGTTACATTCATTACTTACTTACTTACCCCCCAGCTTAGCTGCTCTACTGCCTGTTAGATTACTACTATCAGCATTTATACTCCATTGGCAGAGCATTTTACTGTCGCTAGGCCTAGCCAGAAATCTCTACAGAATATTAAAATTTGTTGCGGAATTTATAAAGTTACTTGGGAAGATGGGTAAAACACATGCATGTGAATATAATTGGGGTTACAGTGGGAATTTCAGTGCTTAGCTTGTTTTTATAGTTGTGTTTCATATTTAGCCATACACTATTTATCACTAGGCGTAGAACTTAAAACTTCAAGATTACTTTTTCCACCATTGTTATATGTAGACACCAGGATACAATTGTACTATTGCTTTCTACGTGGAAGTTTTCTAGCATTTGCAGTGTTCCAGAAGTACTAAATGTGACATTGCATTATCCTATGTACAGGTATTAAAGATGGACATAATTGTTTAAAAACATTTAGACACAAAAATAAATATAATTGAAATTGAAACAATTAAAAAAACATACAGCTGCTATTAAAATAAATTTTAAACTTTTAACAGACATGATTTGACAATTAAAATTTTTCTCTCTTTATTATTTACTCTTAACAGTTGATTTTAATGCCACCACTCACTAATCACTACGATGAACTCTGGCATATGGTTGAAGCTACATGGAATGAAATACCATATCTAATCATCCAAGTTGTGTTTATCTCGATGCTGAGCTGGATTATAACCATTGTTTTTGCTAGAAAGGACAGCTCTGTGCACTGAATTATGTACGCTGTGTACCTCTAATCACCAGAAAATTTAATCATGTTTTCTTCCCACTATTCTGTATATATGTGTAATAAATAAGATTCTGCTATTTGCTTTCCTTCCTGGTGTAGCACATTTAATGTATAGCAGTGTATATGATATGCTTATGGAGGAGTAATCTGCAAATCCCAAATGTTATGTAATTAATACAATCATATGTTCAAAAATAAAGTATCAATTTGCAGACATTGTCACGTCTAAATTTAACAAAAGCCAACAATATTCCTATTAAAATTCCTTCTAAACAATACATGAAAATATATTTTCACCATCTATAAAACCTACACTAACATGAAATTTTGAAAAACTCCAGTATTTGTTTATTATCCCAACCCCCACCGAAAAAGAAAGATGCATATTGAATGTCTGCAATGCTAAACACAACATAAAATTTATGTTTTATGGACATCTCAATGACTAGATATTTATTAAGCATTGGTTGGAATCCATCAGTCATTTAGCTATCTCATCACTGACAATCCAGTGGGTAGAGGACTACAAAATGTTAATATCTTCTTCAGGATTCAAATACAGGCCACATGATTATGGAAATCACTAGAAAGTTCGGCGGTCATACGAAATGACCGCTGTTCTAGCTATTATAAATTGTAATTAAAATTATTTGTGCAAAGGCATCTGCTAATTTAAACTGAATTACCCAGGGCAGGCGGCGAGGACGCCCCTTTGCTTACTGCCCCACGGGGTTTCCCCCTTCTACTTGCTTAATTGCTTAAAGTAGAGCGCAATGAAAGAAATCACTGGCGGTACATTTCTTAAGAGCCACCGTTAGCTCAATCAATAAAGGTGATTTAAATGATGAAATGTTAATTCACATGTCAAAGATCTCCTTGTACACAACATTTCTTGTGTAGATCTTTCCATCATTTTTAAGCTCGTCTTGCAGAGGACCAGCCATTATTTTTAATTTTACGTCCGTTCTTTCACGAACTCTTGAACAGGCAGCATAAAGTTGATCGTGTCCAAATGCAGGCTCAGGTAAAAAAATGCCAGCACACTTAAGCATTTGGCCCTGAGACTTATTGATGGTCATAGCAAAGGTAAGTTGTACAGGAAATTGTCTACGTCTCAATTGAAATGGCAACCTTGTGCCGTGGCAACTTCACCCCATTGGGTAGTACAGTTACGCAAGCAACTAATAAACTATCGGCGACAAACAGACACTTAAGCCACACACACACATATATATATATATATGGGGTGGAGTAACACCATCTCCTCCGAAACGGCTGGCTCCCGGGCTTAGCGAAGCACACCGTTGGATTCCGCAGATCCATGGCACGCCATTTTGACCATTCGCGTCTTCTTGGGACTTTAATTAGTCGAGATATTAATTAAAAACTAATTTTCCCATATGTTTCCCCTAAATTTTCCACTTTTTTCCTTGGATTTTCCCTTGTAGAGGGATTTGGCTACGTGCCAATTTCTTTTTTCTCGAATATCTACGGAATGGCTCCGAGTTGAAATTCAAAATGTGTATCCTCGGATTCCAAAAAATTCTCTGAATTTATCGATACCGTCCTCATCTTCGTACGACTTTAATCAGCCGAGATATTAATTACAAACTGTGGAAACATTAATTTCCGCACTCATTTTTCTAAGTGGCAACAATAAACTATCGGCGACACACACTTTAGCCGCTTATATATATAAAGGTATCGCAATCACCAGGCAACACAAATCAGGGCTACCACCACATAAAACTGTGAGTAACTACAACATGCGTAAACATACGTGCTATATTTGTTAAAAATAAAGAATAGTTTTTTATTTATTCTGTATAATCAATGAAGCATTTCCATAAATTATTAATTATTGAATATTAAACTGAAATCTGTCTATTAAATTATAATCAAAACATACACATAGCTATTCCTCCTTTGAGATTTCAACCAGAAAATTACAATAATATTCAGAAGTGTGTAATTTAGTTTTATGCCATTTATAAAATTTAGTATACATTTATATATTAGATGCAATATTTTACATTACAAAGAATTTTATTCCAAAAAGTCTTGTAAGAAGTATATTCATTTTCTTATTCCTTGCAAATTTAATTGCAAAAAATGTTTCATACTTTGCCTTTC